TTCCTTGGGTGTGTCCCCGGCAACCCCCCCGTCTCTCCGGGGGTGCCCTGTTTGGGGGGAATCCCCTGTAGCCCCCCCCGCCCCGGGAGCATCTTCCCTGGGGGTGCTCAACCACCCTTCCCGAGGTGCCCGCTTTGGGGGGATCCTTGCAAACCCCTCTCGGGGCGCTAAGCCCCCCGCGGGCTCCCCTCCCAGCAGCGGGAGCTGCCCCGGGCAGTGGGGAGGGGGCACAGCCCCCCGGGCAGCGGGGCTGGGGGCTGTGCCAGCCCAGGGGACCCCGGCTGGGGACCCCTGAGTGGGGTGGGGACACGCAGATCCTCCCTCGGGCTGCTGGAGCGGGGATGGAGCCGTGGTGGGGGGGGGTGAAGAGACACTGTGGGGTCCCAGCCCCCCGTAACTGGGGGATCCAGCCCTACTGGGCTGCTCCTCTTGGGGAGGATCCTGTGCCCTGTGATCCCAAAGGACGGGGGGTTTGGAGGTGCTGGGGCCCCTCCCTACTTTGGGAAAGGCAGCAGGTGGTCCAGACACTGAACCCCCCCATGCACCCATGAAGCCCCCCGAGCCCATCCTCTCCCCACACAGGGGTCACAACACAGCCTGGGGTGGGGGCAGCGGGTCAAGGTCCCCCCAAAGCCCCTGGCATGGGGACCTGGGGTGAGTGGCCAGATGCTGGGCACCCACCCTGACCTCCTCCCGGCCCCTCTGCACTCCTTGGGGGTGACCCCGGCGGGATGGGGTGCGCTGGGTCCCCCAGAGTTGTGGGCACCCTGAAGCGAGGATGGGGCCCCGAGCAGAGACCTGCGGCCCCCAGTCCTCCCTGGGGCTCCGGTGCCGGCCAGAGGCATCAAATATTAACAGAGGCAGCGGAGGAGCTGAAAATAACCCTCCCTCCAAGGGTGCTGACCCAGATTCTGCAAGCCCCAAAGCTGGGCTGGACCCAGAGCCCCAGCCAGCACACTGCTGGGGCTGAATCCGGCCCCTTCCCTTCTTCTAGACTGCTCTGCCCTCCTGATACCAGCTATATCACCTATATATTATGCAAATGAGCTATAAGGGCTTATTACGCAAACGCGAGGGGGCTGGTGCTGCCTGGGGCTGGGTGGTCCCCAGGGCTGGCCCTGATGGCTCAGAGAGGACAGCGGGGATGGAGGGGGCTGCATTGGCATCCGCGTCCGCCTGGGTGTCCAGGGGCTGCCAGGGAGCGCTGCGCCATCCCTCTCCCCTCCTGTAACGCAGAGGGACCCCCCCGAGCCCGGCCAGGCGCCTGCCCCACTGCAGCGCTCGTGCCCCAGGACAGCCGGCGCGTCCCAGCAGCATGGGAAAGCAGAACAGCAAACTGCGCCCCGAGATGCTCCAGGACCTCCGGGAAAACACCGAGTTCTCCGACCTGGAGCTGCAGGGCTGGTACAAGGGTTTCCTGAAGGACTGTCCCTCGGGCATCCTCAATGTGGAGGAGTTCAAGAAGATTTACGCCAACTTCTTCCCCTACGGCGACGCCTCCAAGTTCGCCGAGCACGTCTTCCGCACCTTCGACACCAACGGCGACGGCACCATTGACTTTCGAGAGTTCATCATTGCCCTGAGCGTCACCTCCCGCGGGAAGCTGGAGCAGAAGCTCATGTGGGCCTTCAGCATGTATGACCTGGACGGCAACGGCTACATCAGCCGGGAGGAGATGCTGGAGATTGTGCCGGGACCGGGCTCCCTCTCCCTGCCGCGGCTCCTAGTGTGTGGTCCTGCGTGTTCACCCTGGCGTGACAGTGGCCGTCCCCTCCCGGGATGCGGGTGGGCTGGAGACATGCACCCTGCGTTACCCCCAGCACAGGGCTTGACAGTGCCTGGGATGGAGCCCATTGCTGTCTGCAGAGAGCCGCTCGCTGAGCTCTGCGGCTGCAGGGATCAGTCTACCCTGGGGCATCCCCTGGTCCTTCCCTGTCCTGGGGACAACCGTTTGTCACCCCGTCCCAGGGCTCTTCCCCGCTGGCTCCACTCACCGTGCTCCTGGGGAGGGCTGGGTGCACGGCAGCCACCCCCGAGCACCCTGGGGCAGAGGGACGTGTTGTCGGCAAACTGACACCTCTCCTTGCCCAAACCGCAACCCGGTGGCATCGGCATCAGAAGGCGACTCGCGAGGCCATTGCGGTGACATCTCAGTGGGCACCTCCTCCCCGCAGGAGCAGCTCCAGCTGCCTCCTGCAGCGGGTTGTTTCCTTGGGGCTGCCGCTTGCATCCACCCCGGCTGCGCTGGGAGCTAAAGATCCCCATAGCCTGATCGCATGGGGAGGGTTTTAAACGCCAGCCCCGTTCCCAGCGCGGTGAAGCCCAGAGCTCTGTCCCCTGTCTTGGGTGGGCGATGGCAGGCGCCCACCTTTGCACCCACCCTCATCCCCCTCTCCCACTCCCAGGCCATCTACAAAATGGTCTCCTCCGTGATGAACATGCCCGAAGATGAATCGACTCCGGAGAAAAGAACGGAAAAAATCTTCCGACAGATGGATACTAATAATGACGGTAAATGAGAGGAGATGGAGGGGATTAAGGGAAAGGTCTCATGGCTAAATCCGGGGGTCTTACAAGGAGCCGCACGCGTGCTGATTAAATGGCTTGTGTCCGCCTGGGTGGCCGGGGAGAGCCCCGGCAGCCGGAGGGGCTTGGCATGCTCCTGCAGCCCGGGGAGTGGACCCCAGGGGTGCTCATCCCCTGCAGGTGGGTGGCTGGGGTGCTGGGAGATCTCCGGTCCTGCGTGTGCACCTGGGACAGGGTGGTGGCCTCGGGGCTGAGCCATGTCGTGTCCCCCCCGCAGGCAAGCTCTCGCTGGAGGAATTCATCAAAGGTGCCAAGAGCGACCCGTCCATCGTGCGCCTGCTGCAGTGTGACCCCAGCGGCACCGCGCAGCTCTGAGCCCCA